GGCGCAAAGACAACTGCAACTGAAGCAATGCTGAGAAGCCTGTTGGAACTGACCACACTTCTGAAGCCGCTTGCACGGGTATTGTGCTTAATTATATTAAAGATTGGGGGGATGTGGTCCTCTTTAGAAAAAAAACCTCTACTGAGATAGTTGTGGTAGTAAACTCTGTAGAGTTGTAAGTCTTGCAAAAGCACCAGAAGAAGAGAAAAAAGTAGTTTCTCTGAGTAAATTTTGTTGCTCTTAAGTGAGATGAGCTTCTTGCACGGCTAGTTTGCTTTGGATTGCTCCATCCATCCCTTACCTTGGCTATGATGCGGCAGAGGTGAGCGCCTTCCTGGGCAAGGCTGAATAAACTGCTGATGGCCGACTCGGTGATGTACAGACTGCCCGAGAGCTCTATCTGCCTCAGCAGGTTCTGGGGGATACAGGAAAAAAACCTGAAGGAGTCAGACTGACAACACACATTTATCACTGCATCTGAGTAGGTGTAACCAAGGATAGTGATATTTAAAAATATTAACAGGGCAAGACAATGGGTACATGTGTGAGAAGGTTTGGTGTGGAGCTCTCCAGCTATTTATTAAATTGTTATTGTGTTTGATCTGGGATTGTACCAGAATTTTAAGATGGCAACTAATTTAATTAGTGTAGAAACTGAATCTCATGGTGATACAAGATTTCCACCTTATTTATAAGGAATATTGCTACACCATTTCTTACACTACCTTCTAAGGCTCTGGGTTCATCACTACTCTCAGTCAAAACATCACTGACAAATAAACATTCTTATAAAGAAATATAGTTTATTTCTCCAATGTATGAAAGAGATTAAATATTTTTTAATGTTTGTAAATAATTATCTTGCTTTTGCATTTGAGTCATTGCAGCTTTAGAGACACAGCTGTAAAAAGAACATGAAGTTTATTTCATTTAATGTTTCTGAAACAAGACATAGAAACACTAGAATAAATAATTCTGTTTCCTAGGAGGAGGAAGGTAAGCATTTTTGTATTTAATCCAGCTTTGAAAGAAATGCAAGGAAGTATCCCACATATTACACTGTTATTTATACAAAATTCAATTACCTTGCCTTTAAGAGGTTCTGTTCTTCCACCTTTAGCACTAGGAAAATGCTCCATAATAATGCATTAGAAAAATTCTCCATAAAAGACATAGCTTAAGAGTTCACAATTTGATATGAACCTATCCTGAATTAAATCCCGATACACTGATTAGAAAAAAGCTCTTTATGCAATTTAAGCTGAAATCTCTCACACAGACACTTAGTCTGCTTCAGAGCAGCAAACTACCCCCAGACAATGTGCTTTTATGGCAGATGTGGGCACATAGCCTGACTGAGCGGCTCAGAAAGCTGTTCATAAAATTGTTTTTATTAATGAGTTCTAATCCAAGTCCTTCAGCCACACAAATGCACACAAGATGATGTAGCATCAATAATTCCACTCCCTTAAAAGAAAAAGGGAACAGGACTTCAGGTGTGTCAGTAGGTGCCAAGATGCCCAAAGGCAGAAATATCAGCAGTGAAGTACTGCTCCTCTGACTGAAAAGAATAAACATGTTAACAATGGAAACCTACTCACTGAATTTGAAATATGCAAAGTTATTTACACACTTCGACTCATTCATTTCATGTAGTTCTCATAAATTCCAAACAAAAAGAATTAGGAAGTAGTTTGTTAGTTTGACTGTAATTCTGCAAGTATATTTGGAATATTCTCACCTCCTAGTAATAACCCTTTAAAACTACAAGGGATGTTTCTGAAACCACCACAATTTTTTTTTTTTTTTTTTT